AAATTCTTCGTCCATCCTTTCTGGCGTTAGAAATTAATGACGTTGTATCTATAATCAGATTTCTCTATTAAAAATAAATCTTTGTAATTTTTAAGAGAATTAATTTCATTTTGAAATCTAGTTTAATTGCCCTAAAAGCACACCTTATATCCTGTATTTGTTCCTCCATTTAATCTATCACAAAATTGTATTTTCAGCCAATAAATCAAAAAAATTTCCTTTACCAACATTTCCTCATAACGTTCCAATTATTGCTTTGAGTCTACTCTTTAATCTGTGAATAAACTTAGATATTTAAATATTATTTTATAATTAAATCAATCAATGTAATGCATCTCTTATACTGCTAATTAAAAAGCTTTTACAGATACTTTATCATCATATGTATTTTGCTTTAATTTATTAAAAATAACATTACTATTTCTTTTGCTCTTTTAAATATGCCTTCAAACTAAGAATCAATATTCAAATTCATAAAAGGGCTTTAGAGGAAGAATTATACAATTGATAAAAAGAGTCAATTTTTATCAAAACAATAATTCACAGATTAAAGTTTTCAAGATAAACTTTATTGCAGTCAGCAATAGTTATAACCTAAATTATTATTGTAATTTTGGACTACTAAACTTGTTGTTATAAAATAATTCGTTTATGTTGTTCAAAGGATAATTAATAGGCAAAATATTTAGTCATATTACTGGAATCTTGTCTGGCTATTTCTCTTTTGACGCCATTTATGCATTTTATGAATGCCAAAAAAAACATTCTTTTGATTAAATCTATAAAGAAATTAATATCTAATTTGATAGTATTTCTTACTTTATAACAACCAGTTAACATGAAGTGATGAAGATGGGTCTATTAATGCCGTTCTAATTTTATCCTAAAAGCCAATTTTAATGTTTAGAGACTTTTTCTTCATATAAAGTAAATAAATAAATAAATGTTATTTATGTACGTGAATACCAAAAAAAGTTATTATGTTTATAAACGTTAAAATTTTCACATGTTTTATTTAGAAAAAATTGTACACACCAACAACTATTTATAATAAAGATAAAATATAAAATAAATACAAAAAAATTTTTAGATTGAATAATTATAATTTGTACATATATATATATAATTATTCAAATATGATATTTTTTTCCACATCAATCTTTGCGATTCATGATATTATCATACTCATTTTGATGCTTCTATTTCCAATGACTTACTAAATGTTGTTATCTTTTATACCTGCAATTACATAATTTGCACCTAATATATTCTTCTTCTTAATGTCCAAATACAGAAACTTTTATTTATTTACTTTTTTCAACATGATATTCAAATTTTTTTTTCTCTTCTGGAGTAAGGGCATTTAAAAGATACTTTAATTTTTTACTTTTTTTGCTTTACTTATTAACAAGCTCATTATTATCAAAATCCTCATTATCTTCATCATCATTTAAACTGGAGTTTTAATTAATTCTTTTTTTAGTTGTTTTTGTTATCTAAATTTAATCTCCATTATTAAATTTAGATAACAAAATTTGCAAAACTTTTTCAACTTTTTGTTACCATTTACACAATTATTCAATTCTTTATTTTTATTCTAATAACTCATCAATTTATGAAAAATTATCAACGGAAGATAATTTTTTCAACCTTTTATTTTATGAATAATCTTATTTCTGTTAAAAGGAATCTTCTTAAGATACTAAAGAATTATCAATAGAATTTTTCTTATTTTTTTATAGCGATTGTTATTCTTCATGTTATGAAGATAATTCTTAAATAGATATTTCTTAAACATCAGATATTTAATTTTAAGAACTATCTTTCTCTTTTGATTTTTATTCTTATTACTTTTTTTACTCTAAAGTTTTATTTTATTATTATTTATTCTCAATTTCAGCTTATTATAATGATTTCTCTAAACCAACTTAAATGTTATTTTAAGTTTTTTCCAATTATTATTATTATTATTAATTATCAAAATTTTTACCTTAATTTTTCATATTTAATATATCATTATTTTCACCAGAGTATTAATTGTTCTTCAAATCAATTTAAACTGGATTTTAATTTTATTTCGATTATTATTATTATTTTTATTCCTATTCAAATTTCTTACCTTATTTTTATCTATTTAATTCATCATTATTATCACCAGACTATTAATTTTATTCTAAATCAATATAAACTCTATTTTAAGTTTATTCCAATTATTATTATGCTGATTGATTATCTGACTTTTTATTTTATTCTATTATACGTAATTCTTTTTCTTATGGTTCTAACTCCAATAAAGGATCTGTTATATTTTATACCAATTAATCATAATGAAAATTTTGATTTTCTTTATTTTCTTCTAAGTTTTGGGGTTAATTTTATTCATCGATTGATTAAGGCTCTAGTAAAGGGTACGTATTAATTATCTAAGGTATCGATAAGATGAGTTTCTATAAAATTTCTTGTAATTATATTTGATTCATTTAATTATAAACTCACGTTAATAAATTTGATTGATTTATTAGTTAAATTATCCCTATAATATTTTTCCTATATGAAAGAAATTTTGGCATGTTGAATTTTGATTCACAACAGTTAAATTTATTATTAATTTTATTTATTATGTAATGTTAATTATATATCAAAATTATAAACTAACTTTTAGAATTTGTTTGTTCCTTCACTTGACATTCTATTTATTGAGCTATCTTTATACAACTATTAATATCTTCCATACAAACTAATGAAATTACTAATGTTTTTCTTAATATCAATATAGTATCTAAGGCAGGAAGTTCTCTCTAATTCTAAAAATTCATGAATTCTCTTTTCACTAATTCTGTTTTTCCTTTTATTTCTTATGAAAATTAAATCATATTCTCATAAGAAACATATTGATACATTTTTTATAACCATAATTATTTCCAACAAAGAAGTAAATCTACAATTAATTTAACAATTTAATCTTCAAAATTATAAAATAAATTAAAATCTTATAAAGTACGAAATTCTAAAGATCCTATCTATATACCAACTCTATTATTATTTTCTATTTCAATTTTATTTAAATGTTATATTTAATTTATTAAATTTAAAAAGAACTTTGGCATACTATCTGGTTTCATTTGATAAAATGTAAAAACAACATCTTAAATAGTTTTATATGATAAAACAGAATTTTCTCTCTATCTTTATAAGAAAGTTACAAATTTAATTGTAATTTGTTCAAAGTATTAAAATTAATCTTAATTTTGCATAATTTATTTTATCATTTTTTAAAATTAATGTTATACTCAAATATATATTTACTATGTATTAAGTTAGGTTTACTCAGAAATAAATTTATTTAACTTTTATTTACAAGGACATGTTAAATCATTACAATTTTAACAATGAATCCCTAAATATTTTAATAATAAGTATTCTCCAAATGACATAATTAACAAATATATTCTAATGGATGCTCACTAATTTTATTTGATTTAGACATTAAAAATAATTAACATTCTTTATCAATATAAATGTCATAAAGTACTTAATTGATACCAAATATTAACTATAATATTTATCTATATAAATTACAGTAACACATATATAGAAACTTAAAAAGATATGACCATCATTTAAATCAGAAAATATCCAAATTGCAACTAAAATTTCAAAAACCATGAACACCATAAACATTTGCTAAAGAAAATTGTTTCTTTTTAAAAACAAAAAGGAATATTCAAATATATGTCTAAAGCTATTATAATTATTATTAGATTGAAAATTGAATGAGTAAGATAGTTGTAATGACTAAACATTTCTTTCCAAAATGATGACATTTATAATGCCATATGAAATATGATAGTTAACAAATTAAAGTAACTAAATTTTCTCGTTATATCTCCTTAGACAAATTCATAATTTCTAAAACAGTATAAAGATAAAAAACTTGAAAGGATAACTAGTACTTAGTATATGATGCTTATAACTAAAAAGTGAGGTGAAATTAATTAAAAACATTGTTTAGGGTCTAGATCACTATGTTAAGCCAAATATGCTAAACGACCACAAGTCAATACTCCAATCATACATTCATGAAATGGTGTTAAGAAGTACCATCAAAAGTTCTTAAAATAAAATCTTATAAATCTATTAACAAAACTATTTGTTGATAGTTGCTATAATACAATGATGATAATACTTTAAATGTAATTTACAAAATTATTATTGCATAAATGGAATATATTGCCCCAAAAATACAATAATACATAATTTTTTGTAATTGGATCATAATGAATGACTATCATGGTAAATGGGATTGAAGAATATTATCCTATTTTAGCCAAATAATCATTCTCAAAAAAAACTATGGATTTGCTTTCAAATTAACTAAAAACTTAACCAAGCAATTATATTAAATAGTAGACAATCACCCCCATATTACCATAATCCACTTATGATTTTCTCCTTTCAGTGTTAGACCCTATCGAAATAAAAAAGTAAATAAGCCCAGAGAAATATTTCATTAAACCTAAAATTTTTTATTTTTATTTATAATGATATCAATTATTTTGATACAACAATTTAATTACATCTCTAATTATAGATTATACTTATAGAAAATTATACATAATTAAGTAAAATATGATTTCTGAGGTTAAATTTGATTATATAATCCGGAATTAATTAATAAAATATTGATTAAAATTATCAAAAAGATTATTTTAATGACAACAATTTTAAATTTATTCGATAATATAATAAATCATAATTGAAATACTATTTTAATCTCATGATCACTATATGATATTGTCAAAAGGATTTATTTATACTTCTGAATAGAATTTTATTATTTCAGTATTTAATATAATATATAAAAATATCATTCATCATCATTAAACTGTATAAGCTCTGAATGCTCACCTTGAGAATCAATTAACTATTCAAAATATTAATCATCTTTGCTTTTAACATCATAACTAGCAGCAGTAATTGTATGAAATTGCTTTTATACTATTAACATTTCATTTATTAAAGCATATCTCTAAATTCTTTTATTCTATGGTTCATGTCTTTGAAATATCTATCAGCCATAGCTATAAAATCTTCAGTATTAATTGATCGATAAATATCAATACCTTTTAAGTTATTATCCTTCTTACAAAAAAGCTTAGATTTAATTAATTCTATTCAAAGTGGCAGGATCATTAACACTATTTTTTATTTGATATCTATGTAAATAAGAATTTAATTTATAAAAATTTAATAGAATTTTTTCAGCAACTTATCGAATTTCAATTTTTATACTAGCTTTATCTAATAATGTAATAGATCTTAATTCTGAAACAAATGGCTGTAAATCAGCATACAAAATAGCTGTAAAAAGTGATGTCAAAGCGACTCCATAAAATAAACCTAATGTCATAGAAAGTCTTCCAAGTTAAGTAGTTGGATATAGATCTCCATAACCTACTGTAAATATTGTAATCATGCAGACCCATAGGGAATTTTTTAAATTATAATGATCAATTTCTGTTGTTGTTCTTAATAATGATCTTTCTGAAATTTCTAATTAATACGAAAACTAGAAAATTCCCATGCAAAAAAGTCCACAAAGTTTAGAATATGGATTCTATCTAATAGCAACTTTAAATATGAAATGGGGACCGAATTCAACTCAGTATATACCACTAAATTAAAAAATGAAAAAATACCTTAATCTATTTACTCTATTTGAATAAAACGACTAGAACTTAAATGCTATGTTCAATATTAATAATGATCGAAAAAGCATTACGAAGGTTAATATCTCATTAACAAATAAAATCTTGGTTAATGAGAATATCGTTGTGAGAATGAAACTTTATATCCAATTGTATAAGGAGTAGGACAATGTAGTAATATAGTAGTTTCTATTAGCAAAAGAAAAATGAGATTTGTTTGAAAAATAGTAGAGGCTATTAGTACTGTAAGAGACCGTTTCCTAAATTCGAGTTCTGCTAAATATGCAATCAATGTCATTATAACTAAATAGTATAAATAAAATACTTGAAACAATAGTTAGGATTAGAATCAAATATAATAGAGTTTTAATTTCTTCTTGGTATATTTCCGTTAACTAATTTGCAAATGAAACCTCATACTATATTATTTATAAATAATTAACTTCAAGAACCATTAGAACAATACTTGCACAAATTGTCCACATTCTGCCTAATTCTAAAACTCTATATCTTTCAAAATAAAGTCTTGTAATCCTACTATCTTCAAAAGCATTCTTTTTTGAACTTCCAATAATTGTTGACTTTTTTCTTTAACTTATTTTTAATGGTAAAGATGTTTAAAACAAATATGATAGTCTTCCATGCTATTGAAATGCATCGTCTTCATTGGCTCTTGAAGCAGGATTACCTTACAATTCTATTGTTTCATAATTTGATGATTTCATAATATATTATTAACTATCAATTTTTTTGAATCAATCATGGAAACTCATTAAACATGAATCTCTTTGTGAATCATCTAAATTATTGAAAAATTCATCATCTTTGCTAAGTTTCTCCTCTTCTGTACTTATTTTTTTCTTACTAATCTATTGAGAAATAGATGAAAATTATATCTATTGTATTTAATTCTATTCTTTTTCCAATATAGAATTTTATAATAGTTTAGATAGGTGAGTCTGAATTAAAATTTATTATTCACTAAATTTATATATTTGTTATTTAATCTCTTTGAATTTACAATTAGCATCCCCAAATTTTCGTTTAATCATTTCTTAGAATTCTTCTCCATCAATATCTCTATGCATTCTATTGAATAAATAAATAATTTAATACCTTTTCAACATCCCTACATCTTATAGAAATCTTTCTAAATTAAATAATGTTTCCTCTAAATTATTATTGTTATTCATCACTTGAACTTTTTATAATTTCTTTCCTTTTCTTAACTCATTTAAATAAAAAAATATTCTTGAACTTGCTTTTTTTATATTCTTTGTTATTATAGCTTTGTCCAATAAAGCCCAAGATTGATACTCTCCAGATGTTGCTTATAACATATTGTATAAAATAGCTGTAAATAATGATGTTATGGTAACACCATAAAATAATCCCAATGTCATTGCTATTCTACCTAAATCAGTATAAGGAAAGAAATCTCCATAACCTACTGTTGCTACTGTTATCATAGTAACCCATAAACTTTTGGTTAAGCCATAATTATCTAAAGAATCAAAAGTTCTTAAGAGTGGTCTTTCTGATATCTCTAATTAATAAGTGTATTGTATAAACCCAACAATAAATAACCAAGTCAAAGTATAAAAAGGGAATTAACGTATACATAATTTCAACATCAGATGAGTTCCAAAACGAGTCTAATATAAACGACTATATAAATTTTTATCAATTTTATACCATACTCTTCCTATTCGATTTGAATAATAAGTCTAAAATTTAAAACCTAAATTAAGAAGCAAATAGAGCCTGAAAAACATGATATATGTTAAAATTTCATTTACCATATAAAATCTACTTTCTGTAGTTCCTCTTTATTCAAATTCAACATAATAACCTTTAGTAAAAGGATTTGATGTTGGAATTATAATTATAATTTCACTTAATAATCCCCATATTAAGTTAGTTTATATAAGTGATGCTTTATTGGAAATAATTTTAGAACATTTTCTATATTCAAGTTCTATTAGGTAAGCTATAATTGTAAGCAAAATAATTATTATTGACATATAGAATATTAGATACAAAAGGACATTCAATTCTTATTCCATTGTCTTCGTAAGGAATGTTGAAAAACTATATTCATACTAATTCAAAACATTTATACTTCTAAAATCGTTAGCACCATACATGCAATTATAAACCAGAATCGAGTTAATTCAACTATTCTATATTTCTCAAAGATCATTCTTGTTACTCTACTGTCTTCAAATGGTCCTTTATATAAATCATCATCATCAATGATAGTTGCAGCTCTTTTGTATTGTTTTCTAGTTTTTTATTTTTTTAATAATGGTGTTATTTTGACAGGTGATTAAATAGTCATATTTAGAAAGACCATTTCATTAACCATTGTTATTTTATTGTCTTGAGTTTTTTTTTATTTTTGAATGTCAAATGACATTTTAATTAAATAAGATATTAATCTATAAATGCAATGATCATAATACTTCAATATTAACTATCAATAGATTATNTAATATCTCTATGCATTCTATTGAGTCATTAAATAATTTAATACATTTTCAACATCCCTACATCTTATAGAAATCTTTATAAATTAAATAATGTTTCCTCTAAATTATTATTGTTATTCAACACTTGAACTTTTTATAATTTCTTTCCTTTTCTTAACTCATTTAAATAAAAAAATATTCTTGAACTTGCTTTTTTTATATTCTTTGTTATTATAGCTATATCCAATAAAGCCCAATATTGATACTCTCCAGATGTTGCTTAAAACATATTGTATAAAATAGCTGTATATAATGATGTTATGGTAACACCATAAAATAATCTCAATGTCATGGCTATTCTACCTAAATCAGCATAAGGAAAGAAATCTCCATAACCTACTGTTGCTACTGTTATCAGAGTAACCCAGAAACTTTTGGTTAAGCCATAATTATTTAAAGAATCAAAAGTTCTTAAGAGTGGTCCTTCTGATATCTCTAATTAATAAGTGTATTGTATAAACCCAACAATAAACAACCAAGTCAAAGTATAAAAAGGAAATTAACGTATACATAATTTCAACATCAGATGAGTTCCAAAACGAGTCTAATTTAAACGACTATATAAATTTTTATCAATTTTATACAATACTCTTCCTATTCGATTTGAATAATAAGTCTAGAATTTAAAACCTAAATTAAGAAGCAAATAGAGCCTGAAAAACGTGATATATGTTAAAATTTCATTTACCATATAAAATCTACATTCTGTAGTTCCTCTTTATTCAAATTCAACATTATCACCTTTAGTAAAAGGATTTGATGTTGTAATTATAATTATAATTTCACTTAATAATCCCCATATTAAGTTAGTTTATATAAGTGATGCTTTATTGGAAATAATTTTAGAACATTTTCTATATTCAAGTTCTATTAGGTAAGCTATAATTGTAAGCAAAATAATTATTATTGACATATAAAATATTAGATACAAAAGGACATTCAATTCCTATTCCATTGTCTTCGTAAGGAATGTTGAAAAACTATATTCATACTAATTCAAAACATTTATACTTCTAAAATCTTTAGCATCATAAATGCAATTATAAACCAGAATCGAGTTAATTCAACTATTCTATATTTCTCAAAGATCGTTATTGTTACTCTACTGTCTTCAAATGGTCCTTTATATAAATCATCATCATCAATGTTAGTTGCAGCTCTTTTGTATTGTTTTCTAGTTTTTTATTTTTTTAATAATGGTGTTATTTTGACAGGTGATTAAATAGTCATATTTAGAAAGACCATTTCATTAATCATTGTTATTTTATTGTCTTGAGTTTCTTTTTATTTTTGAATGTCAAATGACATTTTAATTAAATAAGATATTAATCTATAAATGCTATGATCATAATACTTCAATTTTAACTCTCAATAGATTATTCCTCTTTATTTATTACATTTCAATTAAAAATCTATTTTACTGATTTTGTAATACATAATTTAGAAAATAGATTAAATAATAATTATATAAAATGGTTGCAATGATTTGTAATTTAATTATATAATAGGATTAAATAGAATTACTTATTTAATTGTTTTAATTAATTTATTGTTATTAAGAAAATAAATAACAAAGAATTAACATTAATTTAATGTTTTACTCTATATTATTTTTTAAATTATTAATAATATTTATTAATTATGAAACTACATAAAAAAAATGTATTAATTCGTTCAAGTGTGCATTCTCCATCGAACTTTGAGTCGAAACCCTCAACCTAAATTCCTCGATAGAGATCTGTTAATTAATTTGAAGAAGCTGATCCTACTTCAAAAGGTATTAGGAAAATTATATTTATGAAATAGAAAAATCATAAAAATGAGGAATGTTGTTGACTTAGGAGATGCAACAGAATCTGTTAATAAACCCTCTTCTAAACGAATGAGGAGAAAGAGTAAGGATGAATAAGATTAATGACTTGAATAATTAGATTAATGGCATGAATAAGTAATTTCAAAGAAAAAACATTTGCTTTTGAATAAGTTAAATAAAATGACAATAAATTAATGGAGAATGAGTTTGCCAACGATGGACCTTAAATTAATTAAGCCATTATAAATTCTATTCTTAAACCACAAGAAAAATAATAATTAAAGAATTTATCATAAGATGAAGAATAGAACTAAAATGTTTAAGTGAAATTTTAATTATTAAGATCAAATAAGGAATCTAATAATCCTGTTTTAAAAACTTTAGATTAAGTTAGGATAGAAATGAATAAACATATTTTAAATTCATTGTTATTATAAAAGGTTACAAAGAAGTTGGATGATTTATAAATTAATAGAACAGCCAAATCAAATTGGAATCATTAAAAAATGGATTAAGAAACAGCTTAAGTTGTAAGAGATTAATCATAAGCTATCAAAAATTCAACACTAAATAATTTTAAGGGATTAACTGAATATTTTAGTAATCCTGCTTAATATATTGATTATGATATAGTCTTATCAAAGGCAAAATATTATAGTAATAGACCTCCTAAGTAATTCTAAGAGAATATAGTAATGACAGGATAATAATCATCATCTTCTGCAAAATAATTAATGGAATCATATTAATAGTTCTAAATTTAAATTAAAGAAAATAAATAAACCTTATATTAAATGAGATTAGATAATAATTAATTAGTTTAATAAACAACTAAAAAGGAAGAAGAAATAAGTGAAATAAGAAGAAAATATTATGGAAAAGAAGAAAAAGTGAGATTAGGTTATGTTCCTGATTAAGAAGGTAAAAAAAAGAACATGATGGAAATTATTGAAAAAATTATATAATAGAGAGATTAAGAAATTAGAAATATTTAAAAATTCATTAACTAAATAAAAGATGAAATGCATAGAAATATAGATAAATAGGAAGTAATTTAGAAAGAATTAGATGAATTAAGATAAAAAAAGAGAAGATGTAAGATGTTATTAAAAGATATATTTTTAAAATAACTTTAAGAGGCAAATGAATAATTGATGCCAGAAGGATTAATTCAAATAATTAAATAAATGAAAAAAATCAATGAAAATGCTAAAATTGAATAATTTCCAAGATATTTAGATGATTAATCAAGACAATATCTTCTTAAAGCTGCATAATTAGAAATAGAAATAGAAGATGCTAGATCTCAATCTTAAAAACTAAATCATAATCATACTAATTTAAAAAGTACTTAATCATAATAATGTTTATTTTCAACATAACCTGTAAGTGTATCTTAATTGAAAAACTAAGTGAAGACAATGCTTAAAAGAAGTAAGGTTTCTATCAAAAAACCAGTATTTGTTTAAGGAATAGATCCTTTGAATCCTTCATCTTTTGCTCATGTAATTAAATGGGAAAATTAGGAATTAGAATCTATTAATTTATAAGATAAAGAAGATACCCAAATTAAATTATAAAATATGCCTAGTGAAGGAAATTTAATTATTAAAGATTATAATTTAAAATTAGTTTAATTTTAGTAATAACTTGAATAACTTTAAAAGGAAGAATAGGAAAGAATATTAAAATTATATTAAAATAAAAGACATTTATCAGATGTTTAAGAGTTGAAATTAGTAATGTATTCATTATTTGGATAAGTAATAGGAGATTAAATATGGTATGAGTTTGTTATTGAATGGACTGAGCAAAAATCCTTAAATCCATAGTAAATTTTAAAAAAAGAAACAGAATCTAAATAAAATGAAAAAGGAATGAGTTAAAAACTAATAAATGAAAAAATTAAATAAAGGATGGCTAACACTTATCGTAAATTATAATAAAGTAATTAAGTTGAATATAATTTTAATATGCTAGATTGATTCTTATATTATTTTTCAAATAATTAATAAAAATGGTCTTATTTTTTATAAAGCAACTTTCTCATCAACTAAAACAACCTCTTTGTGTTAGCCATTATGAGTTATTTCAGCTTTAAAAATAAATATTATTGAAGAATACCTCTCAAATCATAGAAATATAATGGTTCTCCAATTTAATATCTATATTTTCCTGGAACAGGCATAGTCTTAAATTTCAAATTCATAACTGCACCAGTTTCAACATCAGCCATTTTGAAATATCCAGTTGTCATTGAAGTATCAGTGTTAAAGATTAACAAAAACTAAGGATATTATTTTTAATCTATACTTTATTTTTGAATTCTGGGAACTTTTCAGGACATGGATATCCACGATTATATTCACAATCGTAATCTAATACATGAAGAGTTTCATCTTTGAAGAGAGCGTTAATCTCATCATTCTTATAAAGCATATCTCAAAGATAAGTTTCCTTAAAATCAGGATCACCACATTTATCTCTGGCTCTCACATATAACATAGCTAATGGTAAAACTGTTAAAACCTATTTTTAATTGAAACATATTACTTTGAATCCAAATGTTAAAGATAGAATTAATAAAAGAAGAGACTGAATGCAGGTAAGAAATAAACATTGAATTTATCAAATAATCTATGTCTTCTTTCAATTAAACATGAGAAATTTGGGACCTTAAATTTAATTTTGAAATCTTACATGTCTATGCAATAAATCTTAAATCCATGCCCATCCAAGTGGTACTGATTCCCAATTATCTTTTGATGTCTTTACATATGTATGCTCTTAATTAATATCTCTATGTATAATAAGCATTCTTAAATTTGTATTGCCTTCTCTTATTATATGGATTTGAAGATTGCCACACAATTTTGTTGTATTGTGAACGATGCACTAATTACTACACTGTTTCGTTCTTAATAACTTACATTATTAATATCTTTTAATTAGTAATATAAACTTAAAATAATAATATGCTTCACATTTAATTTTAATTATAAAATAAACTATATTAAATATATAGTATATTAAAAATATAGTTTTAAGTGGACTTTTTATATATTAAAAAAAGTATTTCAATTATATTAATCATCATATTAGATAAGTTGTAATTTTAGTAAAATTAAAAAGTAAAATAAATAATTTAATTAGTATATCATAATACTATAGATATATTTATTAATCAAAGTCTTTAGTTCGACTGTTTGTTCTATAATATATTATGGGTTATGTTTAAATTATTTTAGTAACTTGCCTTCCATTTATTTAACGATTGAAAACATTTAATGGAGAAGCAGATCCCATAAAAAGCTTTGTTTACAATTATTTTTTGGTTTGTAAAGGAGATGGATGAGAACAACAATCCATTGAATTATTTGGTTTAAGAATTGACTCTTTATTTGAATCTCTATTAGTAGATATAAATTGTTGTAATAGTTCAGTATCATCATTTTATTTTTTATTTTCCTTTTATTTTTTTTGGAGAAAAAATTGACATAACAAATGTTTCAATTTATCTATTAATAATGTCACAATTTATATTGAGTTTAATCTTTTCAGAAATAGCTTTTATAATACGCGTGTAATCTTCAATAATTTCATCTGTGATTAATTAATTCATTAATTGATATGCTTCAAACTTTGAATTAATATTCTAAACAATTTTAATAGCATTATTTATGAATTTATGAATTTAATCCTTATTAATTTACAACAATTTTTATTAAAGATCATTAATCAGAGTAATAATTTAATTTTTAATTTGAAGAAAGTAATTTTCATAAGGTTTTTAAATTGATTTAAATAATTCTTAACTTTAATCCATTAATTCCTCAGCTTTTTTAATATTTTATTCAATCAAATACTCATAATTTTCAATTTCTTTCATTTTGCTAACATGTTTAGTATGCATTTTTATTACACAATGAGCACATGCTTTTTATAACTTATATGGACAATCATTATCTATACATATAAACTTATATTAATTATTTTCATGACCTGGGAGTTTGCAAATATTAGTTTTTTCTATTTATACTTAGAATGATTANATTTTTTATTTTTTAATTTGTAGCATTTATTATAATGTCATAATTAGGTAAAACAAAATTCATTGTATTTTTTTGAATTATTACTTCTTCATCTTATTATCTTATATTTCTTATTTATTTATCTGTAAAATGTTCCTGTAATTTTACTAAGAGTTCAGGAAAAATGTAAAATATTGATAATTTGTCATAAATTTCACAAAAATTGATTTCATTTTATGAAAATTAATTAATTTTGTTTTAAATACTTTGACTTATACCAAAAATGTTGAAATTCTTATCTATTAAAATATATCCTTATTGATTCATCATTTAATTATACTTTTGAGACCCTGATTTCTTTAATAAATGTGCAAATACATAAAAATAGTAATCACTACCTTAATTTGGAAATAACACTGTTAAACTCATAGATACCTTTTCAAGGAATTAATTCTTATTTACAATAAAGGTATCTTAACTAGAATAAATTTTAGAACTATGTCCAAGAAACAAAAATCTATCAATAAGTCCTTTATGAATTGATCTAATTTTATTAGGAATCAAATATTTTAATTTAGGTGTATCATCTTAATTTTCATATCCAAAAAACTTTTTACAATTATCTGTTATTGAAATATTTTTAATATCATATTCTTCAAATGAAACTAATTATTAAATAGTAATAGCTGCACCATTTATATAATTTAAAATATGAAATTGATAAGATGATTAAGCTAATTATTCTTATTACATAAGTTATAATTTTTTAGCAAGAGACAGTGATTATGGTTACTTGTTTTTGAGTCCATAAACAAAAGTATCTTCTGGTAATTTAACTGTTTTAGACTTTTTATGATGTGAACTGATCCCATATTACCAATCTGATGTTATTTCTTTCATTCCAATTCCATCTCTATTAATCTTTTTACCATAAGAATAACTGAAATCAGGTAGATCTGATACAGAAGGTTTTGCTTTTCCTACATCTCCTCTTAACAATAAAATGTTATTGGTTTTATTTATCAAATAAGGCAAAATAGTTGACATAAAATAATAAAAATTTTCATTTGTTTGATAATCAAAAAGTATTTAATTTAAATAACTCTTTAATATTTGACTTCTACTTTTAAGCATTTTCTTTATGATAACTCTCTAAAACTACATCAATATTGTATTTTGGATAAAATATTTTGTAAATTTCATATTTATCAATCTCTATAGGACTCCATTATAATTCATTATAAATTGCAGGATGCTTTGTTAAATATGATATTTTACATGTTGAGGAAATGCAACAAAAGGAGACATCTCATAATTTAATTAAGATATTGGATTTATTAAACTTTTTTTAGATGGAACTTATAATATATTATTACCTCCTGGTATTGTTAAAGTATTTTATCTATCTTCTTTTTCTCTCAAATGTAATGGACTAATTATTTTTTGTGAACCATGATTGGTTCCTCCACTTTATTGAATATTATTATTCATATCTGATTTTAATGTGAAAGTATTTAAAATTGATAACTAAGAATGTTTTGGAGTATTATTCATTGAAATACTACTTACACCACTTCTATATTGAGAATACTTTTCAGATCTATTATTACTTTATTTCATTGGTCTTAATTTTTAATCTAATGTTTATCTTGAAGTACCAGAAACTTAATCATCAGAAAATGATGAACTTTCATTACTTGAATCTTCAATTTATTATTCATCTATAGTATTATTAACATTTTCTGTTTGTGGACTTTTTTAAGAAGTTTATTCTTTGTAACCAAATCCTGCTGTAGAAGTAGTAGCTTTTGGGTTACTAGCTCTAATAAATATTTAATCAATTTCTCTAAATTATTGTTCTTTTAAAGATTCTTATGGTTCTAATCCTTATACATTTTCAAGAGTAGATGGTCTTAATGATAATTTTTAACCTACTAATATTTTTGATGGATAATTAATTGAAGATTATGTTATAGTATAATGAGATTAATTCTATTAATAATTTGTATGATCTGTCTCTCCCAAAGAGGATGCATAACCTTAATCCTCTTAAAACTCTTAACATTTCACTTAAATATTTAATGCACTAAATCTTGTATTTCCACTTTTACTATCTCTCCTTTTAACTTATTTAATTCGCATAAATACATTTATGTCTTTTTTACTCAGAAGGTGCCAATATATCCAAAATCACTTATTCTTTCTTTACTTCTAAATGTAATTATGGACAGTTCTATATCAAATGATTTTATGATTAACAATTATAACAATGAATTCCAAGAATTTCAAATTAATTTGAGAAAATTATTTCATTTGTAATTTTGTTAATAAGTTCCTACCATTATTTAATAGATAAATACTTTATCATAATTGTTATTATTTATTGTTGCCAAGAAATTTACTCTATTAAGTTTAAAAATACAGGATTCTCCTATACTTCTCACTGTAGCACATCTAGGTAAACCAGTTAAAAATGCTATTTAACCAAAACATTCATGATCACTCAATATTTTAACACCAACAATACTATTTTGTGAATTTTAAAAATTAATTTCAACTTATCCATTTTTAATTATATATATAGAACAATCATCCAATTAATCTTAATTAATTATTATTTCTTCATTTCTATAATATTAAATTTCAATAACATTTGTTAAATTACTTAAACTTTATCTTGATAATTAATTAAATAAATTAAAGTATTTCAAATGTTGTATTTTATCTTAATAAATTATCTATTATCTTAATGATTCCTTAATTCCATGAAAATTTATCAAATAGTTTATGTTCTTAATTCTTGCAATTGATCTTTGTTAAAAATATTATTATTATATTTGATTAAACAGTTTTCTAACTTTTGAGGTATTAATCTTTAATGATTTTAAAAAATCCAAAAAATCAATCATATTTTTTTTATCTTTAAAAGTTGTCTTTTACACTTATGCAAGTAAATAAAGTTAAATTATAAATAGATATTTGATTATCAAAAAGATTATCCATGTATACAAAATAAATACTAATATTTCAATTCTTGATTCAATATTTTAATATGAAAGATCAATGCCAACCAAATAACTAAAGATTTATAAGTAAATAGTTAAGTAATAATGGAATTATTCATTAACATTAAGATATGCAAAATCTTAAGTTGTTAAAAGGAGATAAACACAACAATAGATGACATTATTAAAATGCCAATAAGATGAGTTTAATAATATTATCATATTCCCACATATATTAAATTTAACTCAGTTGCTGAATTGTTATTATATTAAGTAATATCAAACATACAATCAACAATTCTTAATAAACCTAAAATTATATTATTATTATGAATACAATTTATTGTTAAGATAAGCAATTACAAAATTTGTATTAATAAATTATTATTTGATTTTTAATGTAAGCAAAACATGGAATTCAAAAGCAAAATGGAAATGTTGTTAATGTAAAAAAGATAGATGAAATAATTCATAATATTGAAATTCTTTCTTACTTAATATGAAATGTTTATTTAATTTCCTTTGTTTTTATCCTATAGTAATTTGTTAGTGAGTTTACCTAAATTCTTGCTAGTTTTTTCTTATTAAAAAAACTTAATTGATTATAAAAAGCAAAGGGATATATCATTAAAATTGATTTCTGTATTTGCTCTTTTTAATAATTTAGGGTCTTATGTTGAGAAACAAATTTCTTATTTGAAATCTCCTATTAAGGCTTGTTTT